CTTTAATGCCCCGCCCGCCCGACCCGACCCGCCCGTTAGGGCCCGCCGCCCGACCCGACCCGCCCGTTAGGGTCCGCCCGCCCGACCCGACCCGTCCCGCCCGTTAGGGCAGTCGCGTGCCCACTCGGTTACGCAGCATACTTTAATGTCCCGCCCGCCCGACCCGACCCGCCCCAGCCCGCCCGACCCGACCCGCCCGTTCGTGTCCCCCGCCCGAACGACCCGTCCCGCCCGTTCGGGCAGTCGCGCGCTCACCGCAACATAGCCCGTTCGTGTCCGCCCGCCCGAACCGACCCGTCCCGCCCGTTCGGGCAGTCGCGCGCTCACTCGATTACGCAACATAGTTTAAAGTCCCGCCCCCCTCGACCCGACCCGCCCGTTAGGGTCCGCCCGCCCGACCCGACCCGCCCGTTAGGGTTCCGCCCGCCCGACCCGACCCGTCCCGCCCGTTCGGGCACTCGCGCGCCCACTCGATTACGCAACATACTTTAATGTCCCGCCCGCCCGACCCCGACCCGCCCGCTAGGGTCCGCCCGCCCGACCCGACCCGCCGTCCCGCCCGCCCGCCCGTCCCGTTGTTAGGGTACTCGCGTGCCCACTCGGTTACGAAAACATACTTTAATGTCCCGCCCGACCCGACCCGCCCGTTAGGGTTCGCCCGCCCGCCCGACCCGACCCGCCCGCTAGGGCCCGCCCCCCCGACCCGACCCGCCCGCCAGGGCCCGCCCGCCCGACCCGACCCGTCCCGCCTGTTAGGGTACTCGCGCGCCCGCTCGATTACGCAGCATACTTTAATGTCCCGCCCGACCGACCCGACCCGCCCGTTAGGGTCCGCCCGCCCGACCCGACCCGCCCCGCATCGCGGCTTGGTCCAAACCGACGACGGGATTATTTCAGCCGGCCGAACGGGCTAGAGGCCCACGAGAACGCAGGAACTACCGCGGTGGTGGGGGGTACCTCAACCCCAGGAGGTAACAACAGTCCGCCCCAGTGGCCCACTGCATCGGTGAAACATGACCTGTCGCTGTCTGCCGACAGGTGCGGCCGCCTGGTGGTGACCCAGTGGCCCTGGTGCCCACAGCTGGTGGGGATACGCGAAGCGTCAAGAATACCGAATAGAATCCAGCTGTGGCTACGTGAGCTCGTCTGGACGAGCAGCGGCCTCGGTATCTCTTCCTCCTCCGACCCCTCTGATGTTACCCCTGGCCCTGGCCCCCGTCACCGACAGGTGCGTCGGGCGTCTTCCGCTGGCGCACCCCTCGGGGCGAGGTGCCGCCGCCGCCGCCGCCGCTGGCGACGTGGTTGTGGTGGTGGTGGTGGTGATGGTGGAGGTGGTGGTGGTGGCGATGGTGGTGGTGGAGGTGGAGGTGGAGGTGGAGGTGGAGGTGGTGGTGGTGGTGTTCCTGGTGGTGGTGGTGGTGGTGGTGGTGGTGGCGGTGGTGGTGGTGGTCGTGGTGGTGGTGGTAATGGTGGTGGTGGTGGAGGTGGAGGTGGGGGTGGTGGTGGAGGTGTGGTTGGTGGTGGTGGTGGTGCTCCTGGTGGTGGTGGGGGTGGTGGTGGTGGTGGTGGTGATGGTGGTGGTGGTGAAGGTGGTGGTGGTCGTGGTGGTGGCGGTGGAGGTGGCGGTGGAGGTGGTGGTGGTAGTACTGGTGGTGGTGGTGGAGGTGGCGGTGGTGGAGGTGGAGGTGGCGGTGGCGGTGCTGGTGGTGGCAATGGTCGTGGTGGTGGAGGTGGTGGTGGTCGTGGTGGTGGCGGTGGAGGTGGTGGTGGTGGTGGTGCTGGTGCAGGTGGTGGTGGTGGTGGAGGTGGAGGTGGAGGTGGAGTGGAGGTGGAGAAGGTGGTGGTGGTGGTGGTGGCGATGGTGGTGGTGTGGTGGTGGTGGGGATGGTGGTGGTGGAGGTGGAGGTGGAGGTGGAGATGGTGATGGTGGTGTTCCTGGTGGTGGTGGTGGTCGTCGCGGTGGTGGTGGTGGTGGAGGTGGTGGTGGTGGTGGTGGTGGAGATGGTGGTGGTGGTGGAGGTGGTGGTCGCGGTGGTGGTGGTGATGGTGGAGGTGGTGGGTGGTGGGTGGTGGTGGGGGGTGGAGGTGGTGGTGGTGGTGGTGGTGGTGGTGGTGGTGGTGTTGGTGGTGGTGGTGGTGGTGGTGGTGGTGGGAGGTGGTGGTGGTTTCAGGTGGTGGCGGTGGTGGCGGTGGTGGTGGTGGTGGTGGCGGTCGTGGCGGTGGTGGTGGTTGAGGTGGAGGTGGGGGTTGTGGATGTGGTGGTGGTGGTGAAGGTGGTGGTGGTGATGGTGGCGGTGGCGGTGGTGGTGGTGGAGTTGGAGGTGGTGGAGGTGGAGGTTGAGCTGGTGGTGGTGGTGGTGGCTCTGGTGGTGGTGGTGGTGGTGGAGGTGGTGGTGGTGGTGGAGGTGGTGATCGTGGTGGTGGTGGTGGAGGTGGAGGTGGAGGTGGAGGTGGTGGTGGTCGTTGTGGTGGTGCTGGTGGAAGTGGTGGTCGTAGTAATTAGTGGTGGAGGTGATGGCGGAGGTGGTGGTGGTGGTGGTGGAGGTGGATGAGGTGGTGGTGGAGGTGGTGGTGGTGGTAGTGGTGGTGGTGGTCGTTGTGGTGCTGGCAGAAGTGGTGGTCGTAGTAGTGGTGGAGGTGGGGTGGGGTGGAGGTGATGGTGGAGGTGGAGGAGGTGGTGGGTGGTGGTGGAGTGTGGTGTGGTGGTGGGTTGGTGGTGTGGTGGTGGGTGGTGGTGGTGGTGGCGATGGTGGTGGTGATGGTGGTTGAGTTGGTGGTGGTGGTGGTGGAGGTGGAGGTGGTGGTGGTTGAGGTGGTGGTGGTGGTGGCGGTGGTGGTGGTCGTGGTGTAAGTGGGGGTGGAGGTGGTTGTGGTGGTGGTGGTGGCGATGGTGGTGGTGTTGGTGGTGCTGGTGGAAGTGGTGGAAGTGGTGGTGGAGGTGATGGAGGTGGAGGTGGAGGTGGAGGTGGTTGTGGTGGTGGTGGTGGTGGTGGTGGTGGTGGAGGTGGTGGTGGTGGTGGTTGGAGGTGGTGGTGGTGGGTGGTGGTGGAGGTCGGAGGGCGGTTAGGTGGTGGTGGTGGAGGTGGTGTTGGTGTTGGTGGTGGGGTGGTGGGGTTGAGGTGGTGGTGAAGTGGAGGTGGAGGTGGTGGTGGAGGTGATGGAGGTGGAGGGTGGAGGTGGAGGTGTTGTGGTGTGGTGGTGGTGGTGGTGGTGGAGTGGTGGTGGTGATGGTGGATGGAGGACGTGGAGGTGGTGGTGGTGATGGCGGTTGTGGAGGTGGTGGTGGTGGGGGTGGTGGTGGTGGTGGTGGTGGTGGTGGTGGTGGTGGATGTGGTGGTGTGGTGGTGGTGGTGGTGGTGGTGGAGGCGGAGGTCGCGGTTCAGGTGGAACTGGAGGTGGAGGTTGTGGTGGTGGTGGTGTTGGTGGTGGTGGTGGTGTTGGTGTTGGTGTTGGTGGAGGTGGTGGTCGTGGTGGTGGTGTGGTGGTCGTCGTGGTGGTGGTTGTGGTGGTGGAGGTGGAGGTGGAGGTGGTGGCGGTGGTGGTGGTCGTGGTGGTGGTGGTGATGATGGTGGTGGTTGTGGCGGTGGCTATGGTGGTGGTGGAGGTGGAGGTGGAGGTGGAGGTGGAGGTGAAAGTGGTGGAGGTGGTGGTGGCGGTGGTGGTGGTTGTGGTGGAGGTTGTGGTGGTGGTGGTGGTGGTCGTAGTGGTGGAGGTTGTGGTGGTGGTGGTGGAGGTGGTGGTGGTGGTGGTGGTGGTGGCGGTGGTGGTGGTGGTGGTGGTCGTGGAGGTGGTGCTGGTGGTGGTTGTGGTCGTGGTGGTAGCGGTGGTGGAGGTGATGGTGGAGGTGGTGGTGGTGGTGGTCGTGGTGGTGGTGGTGGTGGTGGTGGTGCTGGAGGTGGTGGCGGTGGTGGCGGTGGTGGTGGTGGTGGTGGTGGTGGTGGTGGTGGTGGAGGTGGTGGCGGTGGTGGCGGTGGTGGTGTTCGTGGTGGTTGTGGTGGACGTGGTGGTGGTGGTGGAGGTGGTGGTGGTGATGGTGGTGGAGGTGGTCGTGGTGGTTCTGGTGTTGGTGATGGTGGTGGAAGTGGTGGTGGTCGTGGCTGTCGTGGACCTGGTCGTGGACGTTGTCGTGGTCGCGGTCGCGGGCGTGGTCGTGGTCGTGGTCGTGGTCGTGGTCGTGGTCGTTGTCGTGGTCGTGTTCGTGGTCGTGGTGGTGGTGGTCCTCGTCGTCGTCGTCGTCGCCGGCGGGCTCGAGCGCGCCGCGCCAAAGGCCGACATCCTGCACCAGAGCGCGCGGAGGCCGAGGGGAGGACGAAGCCAACCCAGACTTCCGACGGGTGACGAAGCCAACTTAGACCTTCGACGGCCTATCTGGGCTACTGGTGGCGTACGCCCGCGGCGGGGTCGCTGCAGCGTCGGCACAACGCGAACCTAGACATGCGATGTCTTGATTCTTGCCAGCACGGGCTCCCCAGAAGTCCCCCGACCCTTCGCCCAGGGCGGGTTTCTCATCCCAAAACACTGTTTTATCGGTCCCGGGGCCCGGCGAGGGCCCACAAAGGCCGAAAACGGCAAAAAATCTCCCGTCGTAACTCTTTCACGGCGCGACCGCGTCTGGAAACCGATTGTTCTTTTCACCAAACACAACAAGTGCGCTGATGATGAAAATTACCGGCTTCCCCACAAGTTAAGGGAAAAGGGACTCCACAATTGGATTTCCCTTCGGGCGGCCTGATAGGGACAGGGGCCTGCTTGCGCAATTGTGTTGCAAATCGCGACCAGGGTTCTTGGAGCTACAGACCCGATCATCTACCCCGTGGCTGTACTGGGAGCCTGTGCTACCCGACGAGCGCGCGAGCAACGCTCCAAGACAGGCTGGGAGGAAGGGGGAGGAAGATGAGAGGGAGAGGGGGCTCCACCATGCTCAGCACCAGCCACGAAGGAATGAAGAGCATCTGGGAAGCGCTGTGGGGAACCACGTGGCCTCGAATGCGATTTCTATTTCGGCCTCCGTGGCAGGGCACCAGCCACCGGGCGCAGCGCGCGCCGGCGGCCGACGCTGCGCGGTGCGCCCGGGGGGGAGGTGAGGAGGAGCGGGCCTTCTTGTGACGCTTCGGGTCCTCGTGGCCTAGAAGCTTGCCTGAGAAAAGGCAGGCCTTCTCAGGAGGCGGCGGGGCTTCTCAGGTAAGATGAGACAACCGCCAACGAAGTGGACCAGGCTTTCATTTTTGACAGGCCTGAAGCCCTATAAGAGCCCCGGGAGTGAGATTGATGAGGAAAACTCAGACCACTCTCCCTGAGGACATTTGCCTCGTGGCAAGAGCAGGGAGGTGAGGGTTCTGAGCTGTGGAGGCGATCTATCGAATCGACCTGGGTTTGGGTTTGGTGGTGCAAATGCGCAGAAGGCAGCTACATGGCACCACCATGCATGTGGGCCCTTGTCCGTTTATGCCCCCCTGGCCGAGCCGGGATGGCGGTGCACAGGTGCCTTCTGCTGATGATACGTCCCAGACATCCGCCGCTTCGGTTCTCTCGATACCCGCGCTCCCAGACCTCTCGACCCCTTCCCTCGGGCCAGCTTTTCATCCCGAGCTGCTCTTAGACGACCCCGGGGCCAATAGCCGGCCTCCAAGAGCCACAACGGACGACAGACCGTCTACCTCGATCGCTTCCCCCTGAAGTCTGACGCTGCGAAAAAAATGCAACATCGCGAAAATATCACGAACGGCGCACCGAACCCCATCTTTATGCTGCATTCTCGCGTCTTACCGAGTTGTGATAGCCTCGAGGCTCGAGGCTGGGCGACAACGACTGGCGCGAAACGGTTGCCACGCCTGGGCTTCACGGTTGGGGCGCAAGGAACTTGGGCCACCCTCCTCCGAGCCTTGTTCGCCATCTCAGCGCCCCTCCAACGGGGACTCCACTGACGGGACTTTGGCCAGCGACCTGGTGAAACCAACCCTCCCCGATGTGGGCAACGCTGCAGTGCCAGAAAGAGACCCTCACGAGGCAATTCTCGGCAATGTGAATATGAAGGGGCCCTGGGACACACAAATAAATACACACAAATAAAAGGATTCCCCATATATTATTTGTTTTGCGTTTTTGTCTTCCCCCCCACTTCCCATATTTTCCCATATTTTCCTGGGAGTCGACGATTAATTGTGTCTGTGTGTTTTTCCCCTCCTGAGAATACCCGTTACAATGCCACTGACCCTCTTCTTTGGTTTCCCGCCGGCGGCGGCGGGGCCATCAGCCGGCGGCCAGCGGGTGCCCCGCCGCGCCGCGCTGGTAGCGCCTGGCGAAGCCCAGCGCCTGGCCCCCCGTGGGAGGGGCGGCGGTGGCCAGCGGCAGCAGCAGCCGCAGCGCAAGCACCGTCGGCCAGACGAGGCGCGTGGGCCTTTGAGGGTTTGTGAGCGCCTGCGCGGCACAAACCCACACACACACTCACACACACACACACACACACCTTTGTCGCCGCGGCTACTTGACTACCTTCCAGACGACCCCAACCCCACCCGAAGACCCGGATTTCGGATTGGGGGGGTACGGGCTTCATGTGCGTTTTTGCCGTGTCCACTGGCCCCCCCCCACACACACTGGAAATGGAAGGTAAATAGGGGTTGTCAGTTGGGTTGGGCTGGTTGGGTGGGTGGAGGCTGTTTGGTCCAACGCAGCGAACTCTTAGGCGGGACGCACATAAACATGTCACCACCGAGCCATTGCCAGTGGATGGTCAGGACGTGGCTGACGCGTGGAGAAAAAAAGCTCTCACACACACACACACACACACACACACACACACACACACACACACGATTGTGTAGCGTCGCGGCCACGCGCGCGGCGGCGCGGCGTAGAAAGTCGGGCGAAGAGACGCACGCGACGCGCACGCAAACAGAATCAGCACCAGGGTCACACGCGCGGCCGCGCGGCGGGGCACGGGCTCGCGCTTGCGACCACGGAACTACGAGGCGCCGCGCGGCGTTGCCCAAGTTCGGGGGCCTGGGCTGAAACAACCGAGCCACCAGTGACCTCGGAAGCCCCCGCAGCCGAACTGCCAATGGCTCCCTGACCCCCAATAACCGATCTACGAAGAAGGTCCCACTTCCGTGGCCGCCGAGCGGACGGCAGAAGACCCCGCGCGACGGAAGCAACACCATATCCCAAAAACAACCGCCATTTCCGACCGCGGGAACTCGGCGAACGTCTTGGCCGCGTCTCCACTCCCATTCGAGAAGGGCCACCCATCCCTGTGCGGATGCTCTCAAGGTTTCGGCACAGAATGGTGCCACTCCACACCTCGTACATAGCTGAGCGGCCAAAGGCAAGCCAATGGAATATCCTTTCCCGCATCGCCCCCCTGACGGAAGACATCGCTGGGTTTGAAGTCTCGCGGGGGGCCATGATTCTCGCCGCCAGGAACCCAGCAGCGGGAGTCACCGCCCACCACTGGGCGTAGGACTTGTTATTGTGCTCTGCTAGTGTTCACCGAGTCTCTGACCTCATGGACTGCCAACTGGATCGCGCCCTGCAAGATCTCGCGACAGTCTGATCTAGCGGCCCCTCTTCCTGTTCACGCACGACTAACGCCTCCACGTCGCGAAGTCCACCTCGCCGGCCAGGTCCACGACCTCCCCGGCGGTCCTCCAATGCTCGAGAAGATAGCCAGCGGCTGAAGAATGCCACGCGATCTCGGCCCCGAGCGGGTCGGCATCCCTCCCAGACCTGCCGTTCGCGAATTGGTAACCGCCGATGGAATCACCGGCGATTTTGACCGCGGCTGACCCGAGGGAGCTTTTCTCGCTGAAATTGCACCGCGGGCGCACGGCGAACCTATCGCCGCACCTCGCCCCCAATATCGCGTTGGCAGACACGTCTCCCCCAACGCAGGGGGCCGCCAGGCCGCCGTTCCGCGCGATCGCGGCGGTCGCGCGACACCTGCTGCTGCTGGGGATGGAGTAGCGAAGCGGTTCAGGCGATCCCCTCAGGAATGCCCCGGAGCGGCGAGGAGCCGGCCTCCCCCGCCGGCGACCCCGCGTGCGCCAGGAGGCTGCGCCCAGCACGGGGTCGCCCGCCTCGCCGCCGCCATCGGGTCAGGGCCCCGCGGGGGCCCCGACGCCGTCGGCGGCTCGGCGGCGCGCGCCCCGCGCCCAGCACGCGGCCTCGGCCCCCGCGCCCGGCCCGCGCGGGCGGGGCGCGCGCCCTCGGCGGCGCCCGCCGGGGGTGGCGGGGGGCCAGCCAGCGGCCCGAGAGCCCAGCTCACGGCGCGACATGCTGGCTGTCCCTCAAGCATCTTCTCCTCTGCCCCCGACGCGGCAGGGTCGGGGGGCGGAGGTGCGGCATGGAGACCACCGCCCCTGGGCTGCTTCGCCGAGGCTGGCCCAACGGCCAGGCCTCAAGTCTCGCCCTCGCCGATCTTCTCGGGGGGCGCGGCAGGGGCCGAGCCCCCCGCCGCGCCCGCGCCTGCTGCTTCAGGCGCGCCGGGGGCCGAGCCCCGAGCCGCGCTTGCTCCGGCGACGCCCCCCCCCCAGAGCGCCAGCAGACGAAGCCCCGGCGGCTGTTGGGGGGGTCTGCGGCAGACGCGGCGGCGGAGGCGGGGGGGCCGCCCTCGACTTCTTCGGCTTCTCACGCGGCACCTGCTCGAAGATCAGACCCCTTTCGATGCGACACTTTCCCTGCCACCCCTCATCCCCCCTCGCAATGTCCCTCGTGGGACGTCGGGCTGGCGGCCCGTGAGAGGAGAGATTCCGTCGGACGCCCTCAGAACCTGGCTACGCGGGATGTGACTGGCCCTCCAGCACCAGGACGGCTGAGCGCTGGAGTCAACAACCCCCACTGCATCATGATACTTCTGAAGTATCCTTCTCGTCATCGTCGCCATCAAATCGAACGCGTTTTGCTGGCGCATCTCGGGGGGTGGGCTCGACCAACTCGCGACCCCTCTGCCCCGAGCATGTCCAGGCCCATGCCATCTCACAGGATGGGCTTTGGCACCAACGCGTGGCCCGCGGCCCAGAAGCCCCCGCGGGGCGCCGGGTACGACATCGCGAAGATGCGCGTCGTGAGATTCTCCCGCAATTAGACCCCTCCGGACAATTGGTATCGTCGTGCATTGCGCGCTTTATCCCGTTCGTGTTATCGGGGATCGCGACGGGCGGAGCGACGAAGTCACGCCTGCTCTGCACCTGCATCGCACGCGAGGCCCTCTCCGGGGTGGGTTGCTCATGCACCTGGTAGGACGAGTCGACCCACGACTGGATCCACGTCGGAATCGCCGCTCGCCTTTTGGGATCAGTGACGCGCCACGGCCTTGCAGAGCATTCACCGCGCGAGCGCAAGTGCAACCCAGAGGGTGACGCGGCTCAAAATTTGAGCTCAGCTCATAAGGAGCCAAAACGGCTCAAAACACTACATGCATACAACACAAGCGTAAAACTAGATAGCATATAGATACACATTGGTATACTATACGTTCGTTGGGGTGTTACATTGAGGATGTCTCTTGCGAGAACCTCTTAAGTGAGGTCGTCTCAAGCGAATAAGTTGACGATCTTGTGTTCCTTCTGGTAATGTACTTGCTCGACATTTGTCGTTTCCCGATTTGCGTTTTCGCTGTCGCTCACGTTGTTCACCGCACATAGCTTTCAGGTTCAAAAACCTGTGGCTGTCATTTGTTTGGCCGCCGACGCGGCCGAGATGCCCCCGATAGGTACCGTGACGTTGTTTCACTGGCGGAGGTTATCTTGCCGTGCGCCACCGAGCCTGACTTCATCGACTACTTCGAGGACGAGGAGAGGTCGCTCAACAGGACAAGGGCCGTGAAGAACAAGGACATCCTCAAGGCTATCCGCGGCTTGACTCCCACGCTGAATACCCCCGGTAGCAACATCAAGCAGGCTGTTTTGAGGATCGCCGAGTCCAAGGTCGAGGATGGCGACTGGACACTCAACAACATGGAGAAAAAGGAGATGGTCAAAACCGTGACGAACAAATTAACCTTGCTCCTGAGGCACTGCGCCAAGCCTCTTCGCGGCCAGGTCCCGTGGGTCGTCACAGCTTGCGCTGGCGAGTACATCGACGCAGCCGAGGGCGAGGAGGAGGCCGAGGGCGAGGTTGAGGAGGGCGAGGACGAAGAGGACGATGAGGCGCCTGAGGAACCTGCGCGCGAACCCGAGGAGCTCGAGTCCAACGATATCGTGGAGGGCAAGAACGTGGCCAACGCGGCGGAGTTCGTTAAGGACAAGGGCAGGAAACATCTCAACGGACTTGTCTTTACCCTCCTCCTACCCTCTTCCTCCCCAACCTCCACCCCAGTACCTCCTTCCTGCTTCTCCCTTCTTCTCGTTTGGTCCCTCTTGTCTTCCCCAGTGTACATGTCGTCCCATTTTTTGGTCGTACGGTGGGGTTTCGGGTCCAGGGGCATCCCAAACAAATGTTGATCTAAACAGCCATCAGGACAAGGTCGAAAACCAGTACAAGTGGCACGAGGACGACAGCAAGATCAGCAGGAAGAAGGTCGGCGCGAAGACGAAGGAGGCGGAGTTCAGCAGCAAGCCTTCCCGACCAGAAGGCGCAGCTGATCTAGATCCTGCCGTCGTGAAGTTTCCTGATGGATCGGCTCGTTCTGTGCCGAACGTGCTGTGCAGCTCCATCGATAAGAAGACCACCGAGGTGAAGAGGAAGAACGTGTGGCGCGGCTGCAAAGGGTCTCCTCTCGGCCAGCGTCTCCGCGGGAGCCCCTGGGGGTCCTCGGCACCCGCCGCAGGTCTGGCAATGGCCACGCGAACGGCGATGTCGGTTAACGGCGATGTCGGTGAACGGCGACGCCGAACTCGCGCAGAACATTACAGGAACACATTTTTCTACATTTCAAAAGCGCGAATGCATCGAGCGAAAACGGCACGGCGAATTCTAGGAAAACGCGAACAAAGCTTTCCTACAGTTGGGTTGGCCATGAACCACCCCCACCTACAATGTCGAAAACTTCTTCGCCTTTGCCCACATCCCCATTAGCGTGTACACGGAATCACGGTCACGATGGTTCACGCACCCGTCGGTCGGAATGCACATCGCCTTCGGCACCGCCTGATTCCAGGGCTTTGTCCTCTCTTGGCCTTGACGTGAAGCCCCTCCTTTTGCCTTCCACCCTCTGTCAATTAAAGCTGTGCGCGGCCCGCTTAGCTTCGACCAGAAGAGGCTCGCTCTCGACCCGCGGATCAAAAAGTGTCCACGGAAGTTCACGCACCCGTCGGTCGGAAGACATGGGTAGAAACAGAAAGTGGGAAGGCGTTGGAGGCAGATTGGGCTGCCAC